GTGTGTATTGGGGTGTCTGCACCCCCAGGAGAGCTGCTCCTCAGGGCTCCTGGGACCCTCTCCTTGGGTGGATGGCTGCCCGTGTCTCATGATCAGGGGTCACTTAATTGCACAACTTGGCATGTTCTCAGGGCTCATCCTCCTCCCCTGCACCTGACCCCTGAGATGTTCCTACTGACCCTTGGCAGCCTGTGTGGGGCTAGGTGGCCCTAATTCTGCCCCTTCCCTCTCCTCCTCTGCCCCCACCCCTGGGGCCACCCACAGGTGGGCTGGGAGGTGTTTATAAATGGCCACAACTGGACAAAGCAGAGTCCCCCCCAGGAAGCATGTCTGCTCCCTTCTCTGAAGAGGACCCCACAGCCCCACACCACCTCCTGGTGGTCTGCTTAGGACATAGTCCCCCAATTCTGAGCAAGGCCTCTCCCTGGAATCCTTGCTTCCAGAAGAGTCTTTCTGTCTCTCTTCAGAGTTTAGAGTTGTTCCCATATCCCTGCCCACCAGGGTGCTCAGCACTGAAACTTCAGAGACCTGGGGAGACAAGGAAGAGATGTGGCCCCAAGTCTTAAAGGACACACCTGCTGGGACCCCAGGACAAAGGACCATCCTCCTGCCTTCTCAGGTGTGGATCCTTCGGTTCTTTTTGCAGGAAGCCCGACTGGGCAGTGGGGCTCAGAGCAGTTCTTGGGGCTCTCTGGGCAGGGAAGACTTGGGCCACTTGGCCTTGCCTGGTTCCCTGCTGGGCCAGCTCTAAAAAACCCCAGCTCCTCTGACTGTGGCTGGAGACTCCCCAAGCCTCAAGGTGGGCCTGATTCTCTCTGCCTCCACTGACTCTGAAGCTGAGCTGGCATGAGCAAAGAGTTCTCTTGCCCTTTTGTGGCCAAGATGCCACTGGTGGATGCTGCGTGGAGCTGGAGGGAGAGGTAACATTTGCTCATATATGAGTGGTTAGGCAACTTGACACCCTGTCAACTAGCCTTAAACATTGGAAAGAGGAACTTCCTGGGAAAGATGGACGTTACTTTTGGTTATTTGTCTAAAGATTTCTTTTTTTTTTTCTTTAAGACTCATAAAACCTCTCCCAGGTCATTCCTGGTAAGGACTATAATCCAGAGGTCAATCAGGAAATGAGGGAGGAGAGGGGTGGGGGTAGGGGAGAGGGAAGGGGAGATCAGAGCCCACAGAGAGGAGATGCCCCTCCCTGGGGTCACACACCGGGCAGTGGCTGCTGACACCCAGCGGGGCTCTCCTGTTCTCAGACCCCTTTCATCTGGGGGGGGGGGGTGTTTCCAAAAGAAACAATGGTGGAAGGGCCATGGAGGACACCTAGGCCTCCCAGAATGGACAGCGGGAGCAGAGTCACCATGCTGGACCTGGGCACTGGATCTGGACCTGCAGTGGAGACCACAGGTCTTCTGAGAAGCAACTCCTAGTGTGTTTGGAGCTGTTTCAGGCTCTGTCCCAGCTGGAGGGTGCAACTCCCAACCTCCAGCAGGAGGAGCGATCCCCCCCTCCAGGTGGTGTTGCCTTTGTTGGGGAACAGTGATCTTTGGTTGTGGGATGTTTTGTGGCTCTCTCTAAAAACAGCTTTGGCTTCAGTTTGCATCCCAGTCACCAGTTACTGGGCAACAGAAAAAGCATACCCTACATCACTTTGCGCTCAAATCTTCTCAAAAGAGCAAGTATTTGCCCATGAAAATGTCAGCTGCTCTTCTAAGGCCCCCTAAATGCCCAGAAGTGTAGGAGGTGCACTCTTGAGCAGGGACAGGAGGAGAGGGGCCAGTGGTCCTTGGCATGGCCTGGCATGGCAGCAGTGCTGTGGCTGTGTGGCAGGGAGGGCTGTGCAGGGAATCCTGTTTGAAGGGCCTCTGTGCACCCCTGCCTTATGGACTGAGGTTTCATACCAGGAACTACAAAGGCTCCAGGCGTCCTAATGGGTTAAATACAGCCCCCACCCTCGGGATGGAATCACCTAGAGCTCAGTACCTCTAACAGAGACAGTGCCTGGCGTGGGGGGATGTCACGGGACACTCCGGGAGCAGGGGCGGTGGTGCTGGGGAAGGAAAGGGGTGCAGTAAAGGATGGGGAGAGCAGGGCCCCTTGCTCTGGGGTGAGGGTTCTTGAGGAGACCACAGAACATGGCTCACACCATCTCCACCCCGTACCCCAAATTCCTAGCCCGGCCAACACAGAGACCGCTCTGCGCCCTCTCATCGTGGTTCTTCCGTGAGACCGCACCCAGCCCGGCATCTGGTACCCCCGCCCAGATGCCCTCCTGTCCTACCTTCTCTCTTGGGACAGACTCTTCTTGGAATCTGTCCAGCAGCACGAATTCAAGGCCCACAGAGGGCCTGGCGGATCTGCGCTTCAGGTGCCCTACCAAGCCAGCCTTGCGGGACTGGGCTCAGTCCTCTAGCTTGCCCACCCGCAGTCCGGGTAAACGACCGGTGCAGGCGGAGGCAGAGGCGCCCAGGCTGAGACCCGCGCTGCCTACCGGTGAGGGTGCCCTCCCCCGCTGCCCCGCCCACCGGTGGCAGCCACGCCCAAGCCTCCAACCGGCACAACCTGCGGGTGACGACGTCCGCGCGACCCGCCACGCCCGGCCCGCTGAGCTGCCAGCACACGAGGG